GAGAGAGCCCAGAGGAGGCACCAAGAGGATCCCAGGGCTGGAGCAGCTCTGCTGGGAGGAAAGGCTGGCACAGCTGGGATTGTTCAGCTGCACAAGAGAAGCTTTGGGGGGACCTGAGTGTGGCCTTGCAGGGCCTGAAGGGGCTCCAGGAAAGATGGAGAGAGACTATTCCCAAGGGATGGAGGGACACAGGACAAGGGGGAATGGGTTCAAACTGATGAAAAGCAGGGATAGATGAGATATTGGGAAGGAATTGCTGGCTGGGAGGGTGGGCAGGCCCTGGCACAGGTTGCCCAGAGAAGCTGTGGCTGCCCCTGGATCCCTGGAAGTGTCCAAGGCCAGGTTGGATAAACTTGGAGCACCCTGGGCTGGTGGAAGGTGTCCCTGCCCATGGCAGGGGTGGCACTGGATGGGCTTTAAGGTCCCTTCCCACCCAAACCATCCTGGGATTCTTCTCTGCCCTGGGACAACTCCTGCTCTTCCAAAACACACTTTGACCTTTCCAGGCAGTGGCTCCTTCACAGGCTTTGCCTCCTGTTTCCTCCATCCATCCCAAACACCTGATTTTCTGGGATGTTCCCCTAGGAATCCTATCCAGTAAAGCCTTCAATTTTACCTCTCAGGTCTGGCACAGACAGAGAGCTCTGACCTTCTTTAAACCAAGCCAGACATTTCAAGTGAATTTAAAAATCCCCAAAATCTCACTACTCTCATTATAAACTTACTTTGAGCAAAGCACATGCCCTCCCCCCCCCAAAAAAAAAAAAAAAAAAAAAAAAAAAATTAAGAAAATGCTCATAAGGAGAACTCCCCAATTTGTCCCTCCCAACCTCGATTATTCGGTGATTCTGTGACTTTTTTTTTTTTTCCTTCCTCCAAACGTTTTCCCATTTGTTTATAATCAAGTCTTGTACAATCTGATTTTATTTTAATTTTATTTTTTTTTTCCAATTCTGGCCAGCCGCTTTTCACTGGAGAAATTCGGATTTTTTTTTGAAAGCCGCGCCTTCGCCTGCTCCGGGGTTTATTTTTTGCCGCTAGATGGTGGTGTCTGTGCTCGGAACGACCGCCTGGCTCCTCTCCAGGGAATTGAACGATTCCCCCCAGGAAGCTTCTCCTGCGGGCAGAGAAATCATTCCAGTTAATCGCTGCCTATTTACGCTGAAAGACACGCTGCGACCTCAAATATTAAGGGAAAAAAATATTTTTTTTTTTTTTTTTGCCTTGGCTTCCCGGCTTTTCCACTCAAAAGAATTTGCTGCCTTCCTTTCCCGTGGGGCAAGAAAGGATGAATCTTTAAATCCTAAGATTAGGGAGATTCAGATTTATTTATTTATTTATTTATTTATTTATTTATTTATTTAGAGACGGGAGGGGGTTTAATTTGAATTAATTTGTGGGTTGAACCCACAGGCTCTAAGGGCGAAGAGGTCCTTGGTGGTCACCGATCTCAGCTTCAGGCTTAATTAATGATATGAAATATAATTAATAAATTACTTCACCCACAAATGTGTCACCTGAATTGCGAGAACCGGCCGAGGGCGGATTAATATTTGGGCCACGGTTTTCCCAGCAGGAAGATTCCAGGGTTTTCTTGGTGGCAGATTTTGCTTCTTGGCTTGCAATGGTTTTAAGCTGAAGAAGGGCAGGTTTAGGGTAAATAAACTTAATTTTAAAAACCTCTGAAGCTCATTTTTGGGCCTTACCCTGGAAGGTGGTGCTACATATATATATATATATATTTACAATTGTCATTTATGGCTTTATTGACCTAAGTAAAGAAGGAAGGTTGTAAGAAAATACCCCCTCTAAGAATAAAATAAGGAGGGAAGGACACAAACCTGGCTTTCTTTGTCCTTTTTTCCACTGATTTTAAAGTCATTTGGTCGTGGCACAGCAATAGGAGAGTTGTTAAAATGTACAAAAAAGGATGAAGATAAACTGGATCAATCACCAGCAGGAGGAGACACAAACAGCATTATGACCTTTTTAATTCCAATTTTCCTTTTGTTTGCCTGCTCAGTGACCCTTTGGTAGAACACCATAAAAATATGTGATAATAACATATAATACACACTAATATACTATAATAATATATAGAATATTTTAATTTATGGCATATTTATATGTAGAATATTTCAATATATTGTGTGTTTTAATATGTAGCATTTTTTAATATATATTATGTATATACACTGTACATACACACACACTGTATATTTATACTATAATGTGCAGTATTTTTACTATATATACTGTACACACAGTGTATCATACGTACCATAATTTTATATATAGCATATGTATACTTTATATACACACTGTGTATGTGCCATATATACACGATATATGTACATATATATATACACTGTATATATACACATAAATATGCATATAGATACATACATATGTAGATACATACATATATATATGTCTATATCTCTATATATATGTATGTGTGTATAAATACTGTGTTGCACGGTTGCCAGCTGGGGCGACGACAACGACTTTATATACTATATGTACAGTATATACAGCATTTATAGCATATTTCACATATATAGTATATTATATGTATTATATACAGTATTTATAGCATATTTCACATATATAGTGCGTTATATATACTGATTATTCCTCTCCCTCACGGCGTTGCCCTCACTCAAGATGGCGGAAGGCGCCTCCCTCAGGCACCTGTTGCCACGGCGGCCGCCGCTTCCTATTGGCTGACACGGGGCGGGGGGCCCGCGGCGGCGGCTTCCTATTGGCTCAGACGGCGCGGGGGGCGAAGGAAACAAAATGGCGGGCGCGGGGCGGGTGAAGCCGCCCCGGCAACGTCCGCTCAGCCGCCCCCGCGCGGCCCCGGCCATGGAGGAGCCGCCGCTCCGGGAGCCGCCGCCGGCCGGGGAAGGAGAGGAGGAGGAAGGAGAGGAAGAGGAGGAGGAGACGGACACAGAGTGGAGCTTCGTCGACGGCGAGATGGAGGCGGTGGCGCTGCGGGACCTGCCCACCGCCACCATCGCCTGCAACCTGGACCCGCGCGTGTTCCAGGACGGGCCGTGCCGGGTGAGCCGCGCCGGGAGGGGCCGGGGTGGGGGGCAAAATCGGGCTCTGCTCCCGGGGAACAAGGGCCAGGAGGAGAGGGAACGGCCTCCGGCTGTGCCAGGGGAGGGTCGGGTTGGATACCGGAGCAGTTCCTTCCTGGAAAGGGTTGTGAGCCACCGGCACTGCCCGGGCTGGGCTCGGGATCGGCGGTCCCGGAGCTCCCCTCCAGCCTCGGGGGTTCAACCCCAGCGCTCTCCCGGTTTAATTCCTTTTAATTCCCGCACCCTCCGCTCGGGGACAAGCTCCACGCAGGCCAGCACGGGGGAAAAAAATGAGCCTTGCACCGCCTTACCCCGCTGTGGCCGAGGTTTTGCTCGGCGCACCCCAAAAGCACGGTTTTGCTTTTTTTTTTTTAATACGTTTTTATAGTTGGTTTTCCTACAGGCACTTCTATCCTGGTGTCTTTCATACTGAGGGAGATGCTCAGCTTTTTTTTAAACAGGTGGGAGTCGAATGGACTTGAAAAATCGGGCAATAAGTGTAATAAAGGTTTAAACCCCCTAAAATAATCGCCTGTCCCTTGGTGAAACACCACTTGGAAACACCACATCTCAACCTGCTGACGGCTATAAAGTATTAAAAGTAGGAGATGCAGTTCATTATTTTGCAGTTTCTCAGGTTATTTAATTTTTAATGATAGTATATTTTTTTTTTTTTTGGTGTGTATTGGAGAATTCCAGACTGGTTTTGGGGTGGAAGGGACCTTAAAAGATCCATATGGGCAGGGACACCTTCCACCAGCCCAGGTTGCTCCAAGCCCTGGGCCTCGGACACTCCCCAGGGATGGGTCTTTGAACACTTAAACCGTTTTTCAGTCTTTTTTTTTTTTTTAATTATTCCAGTTAATCTCTGTCTGCAGTAATTTAATTTAGACGAGGGCAAAGTCTTAGGTGCCCTTAAAACGACAATAAAAAATTGGTTTAACTTCTTTCCCCCCCGCCTCTTTCTAAGAGCTGCAGCAGGAAGGGATGCAGATTCCTTAAAATACTAACACATTAATTAGATGTTCATCATTAATTACTTGTTCATCATCTCAGCACAAACCCCGTTCTCTCGCCCTTGGATGACAACTTATTACTGCAGAAATGGCTTTTCTGAGGCAAAGAATGGGAGAATTATCTTGAAGAAATAGGTGTGTCCAGGAGGGGGGAAAAAAAAGCCTCAAAAGTTTTATAAATAATGCAAAATAAAATAAAAAAAAAGAGAGAAGAGTCGAGGCACTGAGGACCTGGTGATTAAAAACGTGCTAGTTGTACCCAGGCTTTTAATAGGTGGAAAAAAAATCAGCTTAAGTGTCAGGGAACTGAACTTTTAAGCATGGAAATACATAATTTAGCTGCAGTTCGTGCAGTCAGAGAGGTGGGGAATGACCTGAGAGCTGCAAACACTTGAATGCTGTGTAGGGAAACACATTCATGGGCTGGCTTTGGTTTTTAATAGTACTTTTATATCTCTTTAATTATTTAGATATTTTAAGAGAACCGTGTGGTGATGAAGGGAGGAGGAAAGGGGTGTAAAATACACCGCCAGACGCTGAGTTTGCTAAATATCCTGTGAATTTGGGTGGGCTTCGGTGCTTTTCTGTGAACTTTCTGCTGTTCCCAGAGCGGGGTAACCCTCCTAAAATATCTTCTCCGTGTAGTTAACGTTCCTTTTTCCCTTCAGAAGGGCCCCTTAATAATCCTGGATTGCCCCATTTGGGGAGGGTTGATCCAATCAAAGGTGAGACAGGACAGCTATTTCTGTTTTCACCCTTCCCAAACGTTGATTTGGGCTTGAAATGCTGCTCGAATTTATTGTTCCTCCCCTTTTTTTGAC